ATATTAGAAAACATTTGAAGTGAATGATAATAAAAACTTGTTAAATTAGTATAAAGCAGCCAAAAAAGCATTGGAGGAAAATTTTAATGTTAAATGCTTATTTTAGAAAAGAAGAAAAGGTTGACAGATTTTTTTCTATAAAGGGCCAGACAGAAAATATTTTAGGCTTTGCAGGCCATGTAAAAAAATTATATATAACCCTGGTCAGGTAGTTCAGTTAGTTAGTGTTGTCATCCCGATACGCCAAGGTTGTGGGTTCAGTCCCTGGTCAGGGGCACATACAAGAATCAATCAATGGATGCATAAAATCAGTAAAAAAGGTTTATTATCCCCCCAACTATTTAAAAATGTAAAAACCATTCTTTGTTGGAGAGCAATACGTAAACAGACCATGGGCCTGATTCGGTCTGTGGGCTGAACCCTGATTTATACTTTCATCTTAAGCTTTTAGAAAAAGAACAGATTAAACCTAAAGTAAATAGAAGGAAGGAGATAAAGATAACAGTCAAGTAAATAAAAAATGGACAATTGAGACTATCAATGAAGCCAAAATGGTTCTTTGAAGAGATCAGTAAATTGCTAAATCTCCAGCCAGACTGATCAAGAAAAAAGGAGAAGACAGAAATTACCAAACTGAGGAATGGAGAGTTGACATTTTGACAGACATTAAAATAAGAGAGTATTATGTATAACTTTAGGCTAATAAATTCAGCGACTTAGAGGAAACAGAAAAATTCCATGAAGGACACAAACTCAAATACCAGAAGTCACTCCAGAAGAAAGAGATAACCTGAATAACCTTACATCTATTGAAGAAATTGAATTTATACTTAGAAACCTTCCCACGATTACTGGTGAGCTTTAGCACACATTTCAGGAAGAAATAGTAACAATTCTATGCAGACCTTTTCTGAAAATTGAAAAGGAGGGAACATGCCCTAACTCATTTTATAGGTTAGAATTATCCCCATACAGCAACTACAAGAAAAAAACCTACAGACCAATATCCCTCATGAGTGTAGACAGAAATGCTTTACAAAATATTAGCAAATAGAAGTTGTCAGTATCCTCAGTTGGGATGCAAACCCCCCTGCCTGCACAGCATCTACCTGGGCCTCTCCATGTCTGCTCTGTGGGACTTGGGGCAGTGGAGGAACTGATATATACATGGTGCTTATGTTCTTTGCTGTGCTGTGAGTAATGTGTCTCTGACCTAGGACTACTGTGTAGTCCACCAGCATCCATGAAACAGTAATCGGCTACTTTGTTAGCTTGCTTGGAGGCTCAAAAATCTCATCAAACTCCTCACAGTTCTTGATAGTTTTGGCTTTAAGGATGGAGTGCTGACGGAGACATGGCTTTCTGAAAGAGGAAGGGTGAGGCCTGTGAGAGCTGGATTAGGGAATAGGAAAAGACTCGTGTTTGGTAGCGAAAGTTCTTACCAAAGTGATGGGCAAGGGTGATGGGGGCAGGGAGAGTAAGAGTCCTCCTGGTTCTACTTCTTAATGAATATTTAGGGGCTGAGCTGAGAGATAGCCCGAATGGTGCTTTGGTTGCTGTATACTCAGCTCCATGGCCTCAGCTGAAAGAGTGTGACTGCAGCAACTGAATTAAGGAGGCCCCAAAGGTGAGAAAATGGTGTCAGAAATGAAAAATAGAGCTTTGGGTGAATTGAAAACATTAGGAGTTTGTTTAGTTGAGCTGCAAGTGTGGGTGCTTGAAACTTAAAGCCACTCTCTCCCCTCAGGGCCTGACCTTTCCCTCTTCCTACACCTTGGCTTCAGGTACTTTAAGGAGAAAGATGAATAGGAGTTGGGCTGAGGTCTCCCACTCCTTAAGGGGAAATCAAAGGCCAAACCCATATGAGTAAATATGCTGAGGGAACTTCAGGGAGAGGAGAGAGTTAGGCTGTTTTGGCTCCGTTGGATACTGGCACTCAAGTCATCATCCTGCATTATTCTGTGGGGATATGGAGTGTTCAGATGCAACTGATAGGGTTTGGGCAAGGTTTGCAGTAGAGAAGGAAAGGCAATGTGACATTTTCTGGCAGCCAGGCATGCTTTGTTGTGTACTATTGTGGCTTCTATTGCTAAGGTATAATTGGTGTTGATTTTACATGCCTATACTGTAAATGCCCATTAAGTGCCAGAGTGGATTCTCCTGGTCAGGAAGAGCCATATGTAGAGAAGTGCTAGTACTTTGGGGTTCCAAAACTCTACTTTCTTTTTAGCTACAAGTTATTGTAACTGATGATTTTGCAATATATATAAAGAACTCACCTAACTCAAAAAGAAGACAAACAGCCTGGCCAGGCATGGCTCAGCGGTTGAGTGTTGTCCTAGGATACAGGCGATCGGGGTTCGATTCCCAGTCAGGGCACATGCCCGGGTTGCAGGCTCGATCCCCAGCTGGGGGCATGCAGGAGGCAGCCGATGAATGACTCTCTCATATTGATGTTTCTATCTCTCCCTCTCTTTTCCTCTCTCTGAAATCAATAAAGATTATATATATTTTTTAAAAAAGACAGCAACAACAGTATTTTAAGAATGGTAAAAGATTTTAACAGGCAATTTTCAAAAGAAAGTATACAAATAGACAATATGCATATGAAAAGATGCTCAACATCATTAGTCATCAGGGAATTGCAAATTAAAGCCACAATGAGATATCACTTCATACTCACTAAAATGGCTAAAATTTAAAAGGCTGACAAAACCAATTGTTGGCAAGGATGTAGAACAGCTGAAATTGTTGTACATTTCTGATGGGTATGTAAAATGGTTCAGCCAGGTTGGGAAATTGTTTGGTGGTTTCATGCCAAGTTAAAAATAAACTTACCTCATGATCCGGCAAGTTTACTTCTAGATATTATTCAAAAGAAAATCTCTTGCTGGTTTGGCTCAGTGGTTACAGTGTTGGCCCTCAGACTGAAGGGTCCTGGGTTTGATTTCTGCCAAGGGCGCCTGCAGGAGGCAACCAATCGATGTATCTCTCACATCAGTGTGTTTTTCTTTCCTCTCTCTCCCCCCCCCTCTCCTCCCCTCCATCCCCCTGCTATTCTCTCTGAAAAGCAATGGAAAAAATATCCTCTGGTGAGGATTAAAAAAAAAAAGTTAAGGTGCATGTTTTAAAAAAATATGCATATATAAAAAATTGAACTTGAATGTTCACACCAGTATTATTCATAAGAGTCCCAAACTGGAAACAATCCAAATGTCCATCAATTGGTGAATGGATAAACAAATCTTGGTAGATTTTTACAATGGTATATTACTCAACAATAAAAATGAACAGAACTATTAAATGCAAGAATAAAGATAGCCCGGCCGGGCGTGGCTCAGCGGTTGAGCGTCAACCTAGGATCCAGGCAATCGGGGTTCCATTCCCAGTCAGGGCACATGTCCAGGTTGTGGGCTGCAGCCAATCAATGACTCTCTCATCATTGATGTTTCTCTCTCTCTCTCTCCCTCTCCTTTCCTCTCTCTGAAATCAATAAAGATATATTAAAAAAAAAAAAAGAATAAAGATAAATCTCAACATGCTGAGGGAGAAAGCTCATACCATACGATTCCTTTGTGTCACGAGTACATAACATGTGATTCCATTATGTGAACTTCTAGAATGGGCAAAAAGGCAAACTTAATCTATAGTGATAGAAGAGATCAGTGGTTGTCTAGGGTGGGATTGACTGTAAAGGAGTAGATTTATTTTTTGTCCATTTAAAAATAACAGTGGTAAAACTTTAAGGCAATGTAACTTTGTAATTAAAATAATGAACTTTGGTATCATAAAACATATCCTGAGTTTGAGTCCTGGCTCTTCCATTTACTAGCAATGTGACCTTGGGCAAATGATCTAAGGTCCTTCATCTGTAAATGAGGGTGATAATGGTGCCATCTCAGAGTTGTTGTGAGGGTAAATTAAATTGCCATCACTGGTAGTAAGTGCTCAATAAGGATGACTAATTTTGGCAGTATTAATGTTTGTCAATGCTAATAATTATAACTTGCAACTCATGTCTGTTACTCTTAATCTTAGAAAGGGTATTGCATTTTTATATTTTAAAAAGGAAAGAAGAAAATAATTGTTGATTAGGTTCCTATGGATCTTTGATATTTTACAGCCAAATAACTTATTGCTGTTTAGTCAGTCATAAACATCATGTACTTTCTTTAAATAAGTGAAGATAACTGAGTCCTTTATTGGAAGTTCTGCATGACCTTTGGCTAAAAGCATCACAGTTCTGATTTGTTCATAATCTGCTTTATATTATTAACATTTTTTTTCTTTACGGCCACTGGCTGTATACCTCTCAGATTTTGACATTTTAAATGGCTGAGGAGGATTTGAGAATTTTCTTTCCAAATAAGGGTTTCTTTGGTATGAAGCTAATTGGTCAAACTTGGGCCAAATAAGCCTTTTGATCTTCAGTTGCTGAGATGGATTACTCTAGAAACTCTTTCAACATTGAGTATTTAATGGATTTTTATACATGGTATAATGCCATTATTTTAGGACCTAGTTCACTGGAGATTTGAAGATACTTTTCCAATATTTGTTTATATTTTAAAATTCTTATTTCTTTGTGTGCTTCAGCAGTTTTCAATTCTGTCAATAGGAAGAAAAAAAAGCTGGGAAGAAATAAGATGACCAGACTTGTCAGGGATTTAAAAGATTTATGAGTGGGCATTGGAAAAGAGTTTCCTCTAATTATGTGACTTAGTGTTGTCTGAATGCAGTATACTTTTGGATTGAGACATGGTGAATGAGAATGTTTGCTTCTAGTTTTGTGTCTCATGACTTATAGTTCAGATTCTTGAAAGCTGAGGATATGTTAAAATCATTTTAACCTACATCAGGAATATCCTTCATTCAATTTTACATCAATAAAAAATGTCATTTTTAATTTTGTCATTTGCATTTTTCTCAAATAATTTTTTTCTTCTCTTAAATCTATTTTTGAAACCTAGTAATTCTTTATTTTTCATCTTTTATTGCAGTGCCTGGTCAACTTTCTAGCAGGAGAACGATCATGGAGGTGGTGCCAGCTGAGGTGAATAGCTTGCTTCCAGAGGAGATAATGGACACTGGTATTACTTTAGTGGATGATGATAGTATTGAGGCTGTTATTGTTTCATCCCCAATTCCCATGGAGACAGAACTGGAAGAAATTGTCAACATAAATTCTACTGGTGACTCTACAGCCACGCCCATTTCCACGGAACCAATCACAGTGTACAGTAACCACACTAACCAAGTTGCAGTGAATACCACAATTACTAAAGCAGATTCTAATACCACAGTGAAACCAGCTTTTCCAAGTGGCCTTCAAAAACTTGGTGCTCAGACTCCTGTGACTATATCTGCCAATCAGATTATTTTAAACAAAGTATCACAGACATCTGATCTTAAACTTGGCAATCAGACCCTTAAACCAGATGGACAGAAGTTAATTTTAACAACTTTGGGCAAGTCTGGTTCACCAATTGTTTTAGCACTACCCCATAGCCAACTACCCCAGGCACAGAAAGTTACAACTCAGGCCCAGTCAGGAGATGCTAAGTTACCACCGCAACAAATTAAAGTAGTTACCATTGGAGGGAGGCCAGAGGTGAAACCTGTCATTGGTGTCTCAGCATTGACCCCAGGAAATCAACTGATTAATACTACAACTCAGCCCTCTGTGTTACAGACCCAACAGTTAAAAACAGTACAGGTAAAAAAAGGGGGCTTATGAATTAAAATGCATGTTAAAAATTAAGTTGATTGGTAGTTGTGTTTGTAGGGTAATTAAATGCTTAGTTGTTACTGAATTCTTTTGAATGTTGTGTTTAGTAATTGTGTGGGGGGGGTTGGTAAAGTTTTATATGTCTAATCCTTTGAATATTTTTGCTAGTAAACTTAATTTTGGTTAAATTCCAGATGAGTTATTTATAGCTTTTTACTCATTTTAAAATGCATTTTATTCTTAGTAATAGTTTGATTACAAGGATGTTCTGCTGGTACAAAGATGCCAGAATTGCTGATGGGTTGTCAAAAAATCAGTCAGACATGATTTTTTCAGTTAACAGATGGCCAAAGTCTAGGAAAACTTGCTGCTTTGAGAAACCCTTGGAGCCAGAAATAGTACATACAAGCCAGTGTGTGTTTCTTTTTGGAGTTTACTTTCCATTACCATCACTCATGTTTGGAAAAGGCAGTGCCATGTAATAGAAGGTAACATATAGGCTTTAGAGTTCGACCAACTAGATTTGAGTTGCCTCTCTGCTACCCTACCACCTGTGGAACTTTGGATACCTTACTTATCTCTGAATTTTTTACTTTAGCTGGAAGATGGCTATTTGAACATGATGAAATATATAGTAACAGAAAGTACTTGATGTAGTTCTCAAAACTTTGAGGATCCTTCAAAAATGGTACATATTATCAGTATGAATAGGACCTTAACATAGAAGGTTAACAGAACATTTATTAAGTGGCTTCCGTTTTTCATGCTGAAGTAGGCCTTTTTTGGTTACCACTACTCTTAGAAATACAATGATCCACTTAAGACCAGGGAACACAAATACATTCCCTGTTTGAAAGAGTCGCCCTTTAGAAAAAAGGAGAAGGCATGATTTAGAGAACTAAAGCTAGTGTGTAAGGAAATAGGAAGGTTTAGAAAACTATCAACTCTCAACTGATATCAGAAATAATGTTTGCCTATTATGTTGGCAAAATATTAGAAACTTATATTTCATGGGCTTTTTATTTAAGAACTTTGTAAGATTTCAAAAACCTTGTAATTTGCCCATGTCCCTTCTGCCACTATTAAATATTCAGTGCTCTTTTCTTTTTTGTTCATTATCAGCTTATTTATCTCTGACTTCCTTTTACTTCTTTTGATGAAGTTCTCTTGAATGAGATATCCTATCACCATCAAGCATCTTGCCCTCAGCTTGTTATTTTAAATCAGTTTTGAAACTTGTATTTATTGGGGATATGGATCATAACTGTGTCACAAGAAATCAGTAATGTAAATCAGAATGTCATTTTTTTTATTTACAAGAGCAATGTATACATACTGTTTTAATGACCAGTTGTATCCACTAGTTTTTTACTAGAATCACCTAAGTACTGACAATAAAAACAAAGACTGGGATCTGATTCTTACAACTTCTTTTACTGTTGTTACTTTTATAAACCGTGATTTTATTTATGAAAAAGAACTTTGGTTTAAAATAAAAGTAACAAAAACAAAAGAAACCCCATTTAGGATATTGTTCTACTTGTCCAGTTATTTTTAGGCAACCCAAATCCTTCTAACTTAAAAGTAACCTACAAAACTCTAAAGCACAGAAAAACAAATAAACTACACATCTATGTTTCCTTCTTAGGCACCAGAATATTTGGTTTATTATTACACAGTGTATATGAATTCTCTGGTTTTTTTCCTAGACAGTCCTCAGCGTTGTCTTAAGTTTAATGAGTATTGAAACTGTTAGGGTATGGACAACAGGTAAGGGTGGAAGAAGGAGAACCATCTTGAAAAATGAAGGAAAGAGGTGACAGTTGAGGCCAGAGGCAGTAACGAAGAGGTATAGTCACGCTTAATTACAGATATATAAACACTTTCCCATGTTTCTTGTGCATAGTATATAAGAGTAATAACTAACTAGCAGTCGGGAACAGCATAACTCCTAATTAGTTCCTGTAGCTATACAACACAGGGCCAAAAATTACCTGTATGTATTAGTTGATCAAATATTTGGCTACCTTATTTGTAAATTTCCTTTTGATTCATATTTGTCTTAATCTGCTGATTGGATAAATTTGTTATAAATTATCCTTCATGCTTTGTTTTACTTAATAAAGTAATTTTGTTCTAGAGTAGTTTAGAATTCATAATGCAAAAATCATGGTTCCTTAACGGAAACGGAAATCATTATTTTTCAGCAAAGCTCCATTAAAGAAACATAGCAAAAGTGCAGGTTGCAATTGTTCATTTGATGAATTACTTTGCTTTTGGTTGTATTGTTTACTTTGTTTTATTGGTAAGTATTGCTATACTCATATGATTGTGAAAGTCAGTTAAAAATGGGTAAATACTTTAAGTTCCTAATCTTTATAGCTAAGATTATTTATTTTGAGACATGGATTTTAAGAATATCAATACTCTACCTCTTAAGATTATTGATATTAAGTCAATAGATGACATATTCTGACTTACTTTAGAGTTTTAGTCCTGTAAACATAGTTGAGAAAAATACCCTCTGTATGTCTGCCAAATTGAATCAACTTTTTAAAGTACAATTATGAATTTATAACAGTTTTGCAAGTTGGGTATTTATCAGTGTAGTAATGGATCCCCTTGTTTTTTAAAAAAGTGATTTGTATTTCATTTACATTTTTTTTGGTCAGTAATATGTTCTGGGTGTAAGAAAGTAATATATGATAAGTGTAACAAAATGTTTTATTTATTTTAATTTTAATTTTGAGCACAAAGGTGATATTTATCTAGTTCTGTGATTTATTACAGCTTCTGATATATTTCTGTTGTTCAAGTTGGTCATGTTTATTCATTTTGAATCATTATTTTCAATAATAAATAGTACTTTCAGGGCCTTAATTTTTATATCTGCACAAGGATAAAATTAATATTTAATGTCCTTCCTGCTCTAAAAGTCTATGATTTTTATCATACCTAAATTTCTGCTTCTAACTTTTAGAAGAAGCTGTGTCTTTGCATACATTGATAATTTCAATATAAAAACATTGGTAATTCTACCTTCTTTAACTTGTGGAGAATTTTAGTCCAGATCAACAGTGTGCCAATATATAACATAAAATCAGAGATGAATAAAATGCTCTCCCTTCAAGGAATTCATAGTTTAGGAAACAGTTTCTTAGTAAATAATATTTGAGAGGTTTTGCCTTTAGAATAATAGTCTTTGTTTTGTCAAACTTCTCTCCATATCCTAGGGCATTAACTTGTTCAGTTTTTTGTTTATCAGTTCCTCATCTATAGGTCTAAAGCTGATCATCTAATCATAAGCGTGTTTTTAATGTGTATTTATATTTTGCTTCCAGGGGTCAAATCTACTTATATTTATAGATGGCTGCATTGTTTGCACTATTCTTAACTTACTGTGTTCCATCTTTTTATTATTGAATAATTTTTATTTTGAAAAAGAATACTGTTGTGCCATAGTGTTTTATTATTAGTATTAAATGTTTATTAAATAAACTTTATTATTAAAAATTTTAAATATTAATTTGGTTTTCATCATATCTATACCCTAGAGACTAAAATAAGGATTTACAGTGAAATGCAAAAGTATTACTACATATTGGCCTAAGGATGTTATATTAATATTTTAATGAATGGCTACATTTTAAATGTTTTTAACATTAATACTTGGATATATTTTGTTAAATGAACTGGTTTCATGTGTATTTCTGTATATCAATCTTTTGTCTAATTTTGATTGAGTAGGTGTTTTATAGAAACAAGTGGTTTTCATAGTTATTTATATATTTCAGATTGCTAAGAAGCCTCGAACACCAACCTCTGGTCCAGTAATTACGAAGCTGATCTTTGCAAAACCAATTAATAGTAAAGCAGTTACAGGACAGACAACTCAAGTATCACCACCAGTCATTGCAGGTTATATTTCTTTACAGTTTATTAAGCTTTATATTTACCTTCCTTTTAGGTTTAGAAGAGGTTGTTCTGCCACCTTGAAATGTATTAGTGAAACAAGTATAGCTTATTATAAACCAAACTCGTTAATAAGAAATGTTTCACTTATTAAATGTGTGCTTCAGGCAAAATGCCTTACCTCAAAATCAGTCCATTACTTTAGACTCCTTAGTTTGGGGTAGAGTTTATCATGAAAGTAATACAAAGTCTTAAACTCTAATAATACTAGCTAAAATAGTGTTTACTATGTGCCCTGCACTATTCATAGCTTTCTACATATAGTGACTTTTATAATCCCTTGGCAAGCTTGTGAGGCAGGTACTAATACCAGCCCCATTTTGCCAGTGTGGAAATGGAGGTACTTATTTACTAAATGGCCAAGCTGGAATTTGAACCTAGGCAGTTTGTCTCTAGAGCACATGTGCTAAGTCTAATAGTTTATTTATTTATGTGTTTATTTGTTTATTATTTTTAATATGTCTTTATTGATTTCAGAGGGAGGAAGGGAGGGGGGTAGAGAGATAGAAACATCAGTGATGAGAGAGAGTCATTGATTGGCTGCCTCCTGCATGCCCCCTGCTGGGGATAGAGCCTGCAACCTGAGGCATGTGCCCTGACCTGGAATCAAACCGAGATCTTCCTGGATCATAGGTCAATGTTTAACTGCTGAGCCACACTGGCTGGGCAGGTCTAATAGTTTTAAATTGATTCACATGGGAGTATAGTATTTCATAGTTTCTGTTTGAATTTTTGGTTTCAGGATTTTAAAATGTTCTATATGCAGTTTTCTATGAATAGGAAATTGTCACAGTGATGAAGTTACTTAAGTGATAATAGAATTCTTGCTATATTTTGCCAGCAAATTTCTTAGTGTGACCCAATTCTCTTTTATTATATACTTTAAAATTTGTCATAAGCCAATAACTGTAAGACGTCAGAAACCATTTTTTTAAATTGATTTTATAGAGAGGGAGAGAGAGAAACATGGACTTGTTGTTCTACTTATTTATGCATTCTTTGGTTGCTTCTTGTCTGTGCCCTGACTGGGGATTGAACCCACAATCTTGGGGTATTGGGATAATCCTCTAATCAACTGAGCTACCTGACCAGGGCTAGACCTCAGAAATCTTGATTTTAGTATTTCATTCTCTTTATTCTAGATTATTTGCCTTAGTACTCCCAGTCTGACAATTCTTTAACTTTGAAATCTCTGATCTGTTAACCCTCCCACTTCCTCATTAATAATCACCCCTTCCTGTCCTCACAGTCTTCCTTACTCAACATGGAGTCCATGACTCATCATTATCACTCCCTTGCAAACACCAATGATTATCTTTTCCCTTCCTCTCTCTATAATAGCTTGATTAAGTCCATCTCTCTTCTTAAGTTCTTGCCTGGCAAGCAGCTCAGTATTTCTAGAGAAAGTCACAGAGCCATGGTGACTGGTCTTTAATTCAGAGTTAAACTGACGTTACTCTTTTCACCAATTTAGAGTTCATTTCTAATTTCCATTGTGCTATAAGGAAGCACCTCTGGATGGTAGACTTTGAACTAAAGAATTTTAAATGCTAATTACCCATTATGTGTAGTCTTTTTTTTTTAAATTTTATTGATTGGAGAGAGAGAGGAAGGAGGGGGGAGAGAAACATTGATATGTTGTTCCACTTATTTATGCATTCTTTGATTCTTGTATGTGTCCTGACCCAGGATAGAACCTGAAACCTGGCAGCATCAGGATGAGGCTCTAACCATTTGAGCTACCCAGTGAGGGTTCCTTTGTGTATTCTTGATGAGTACGCTTCAAATTTTAACTAACCATGGGTGGGGGAGGGGGTAAATATTGAAACCACCTACTACTGTCTTTGATAAGTTTACAGGTAGCATAACAGTAGGCAACTCTGAAGTCAGTGGCCACGATTTGCCACTTTCCTGAGGCTTGGAATTATATGTAGGGAGGCTTCTCATTTTGGCAAATTAGAGGAGGCGTGGAAATATTTTGATGTGAAGGCATTGTTGGGTGAGTGAATGTTCTCTTTCTCTTTTGTCCTCAGTAGAGATTTGTGATGGATATAGGAGGCTGGTGTCTTGAGGACTGCATGGGAGGCAGGTGTAACCCCAAAGGAAAGATTGGAAAAGGGTTGGGATTTGGAGCTGCTTTAGGAAGTGGGGCTTCAGTTGGACAAAAGTGAGCAAGGCTTGGACAGATTGAGGAAAAAGGGGCCGCCAGGTCCCTGGGAGGTTTTGGGTAGGTGGAACTGGTTAACCAGGAGGAATGTCTTAGTGCAATGTTCTTTACTGTTTTGGAGTTTGAGAGTCTCTTAAATTTTTTTAATTATGTGGGAAAATTGTTTGCTAACCAATTGTGGTGTTTGCAGAAGTGTCTGAATGTATTTTTGGTTAATGTCCCAGCTTCACCTCGTACATTTAACTATAATAAATGTCATTGCTGGGTCTTTTCATCATTTATAAAGTGTTGCACACTGACCATAGCTTCACCTTTTAATTACAGATTTATTAGCCCTACCAAAATGCATAGAGATAGACTTCTATTAAATTTCACTAGAATTGTTGCATTAAGTTCAGTTTGGAGGGATAATTTCTACTATTAACTAGTTCTTTATATCCTTTTAAGTTCATGTAAACCAAAATTTAAACCAGGGAAGTAGCTCTCCTGTTGAGTTGTCCTATACAAGGAGATTCTATCATCTTTATGTTGTAGCTAATGATCTTTCAAAGTACATTCAGATTGTTTTTTAATGACTTTTGGGCTTCTCATTGAAGATGGATATCTTTTTCTGTCTCTCAGTCAAGATAAACTTATGGTTGTATATATATATATATATATATATATATATATGATTTTTCTGAAATGGAAATCTGATCTTGTCATACCCTTGCTTAAAATTTTTTTGGCTGTATCCATTTCTGGGCTTCAATCCATCAGGATTAAGTTCAAATGTCAGTGCTTTCTGAGCATTAAAGACATTTATGATCTAATACATACCTGTATCATCTTTACCCCTTATCAGCTCCAGACCTACTGATTTAACTTATTCTAAGAGATTACCAAATAAACCCTGTTCTCTCAGAATTTAGGATCTTGGCACTGTTCCCTTTACCTGAAGTGCCTTTCTTTGCTGTTCCTCATGGCTAACCCATCCCTTTTATCTTTGGATTACCTCCTCCTATCTTGGAAACTTTTGACCCCTAGGTATAGTCAAGTACTCTTTCTCTGGCCATCTCCTATGTATTTCCATAAAACTTAATCATACCTACCAAATACTTCAATTAGATTTCTATTCAATTTCACATTGGCTTTTTAGAATTTTTTTTAGTCACACTGTATTGTAATACTTGTCTTTCTTGTCTGTCTCCCCGCCAAATTCATTAGCTTTCTTAATGGTAATATTTTTGTTTTACCATCTAGTTTTTTAGAATTAATTTTTTTAATTATAAAATGTATATAGCATAAAGTTGACTATTTTAATCATTTTTAAGTGGATAATCCAGTGGCATTAAATACAGTCACATTATTGAGCAACCATCACCACTCTCCATCTCTAGAACTCTTTTCATCTTGCAAAACTGAAGCTCTGTACCCATTAAATAGTAATTCCCCATTCTTCCCTCCTCCCAGCCCCAGCAGAGACTTTCTGTCTTTATCACTTTGACTTTGTCCTTTTATGACTGGCTTATTTTCTCATGGTCCATCTATATGATAGCATGTATGTATGTAGCACATTGGTGGTAGTTCTTTTATCTTTACCCCTCCAGTACCTGGCACAGTTTCTGGCACATAGATGTGGTTCAGTGACTATATTGTTGAATGAATATGTATATCATGGAAGCAGTGTAGTGGTATTGGAAGGAGCTACTGGGAGACTTGTGTTTTAGTCATGGCTCTTGCATTGATTTTCTCTTTGATCTTGGATAAATACAGAATCTGTTCATCTTACTCTTATAAAATGTTGATACCAACCACTGCCCAAGACTTTTGAGATGGTTAAGTGAGATACAGAGGTCCTTGTTATCAGAACTCCCAAGGTACAAGGTTGCTGCAGTGGAGCAAACTTCATCAATGTGAAAATATTCACTAATGAATTAATCTTTTACAGAATTAGTCCTTGTTCAGATTCGTTAGCTCTCTGCCCCAAACTGCCCCATCTGTAGCTTTCTGGAATATGTCTCCTGACTTAGGTGGACAACACCTGACAGTAGAGTATAACTGCCTTACAAACTGATTTCAGGGTGAAATCCTATAACTTGCATACTTGCTTGAATTTGTATACAGAGCTAAGGATAAAAAGGGATTTGGAGATTAGTTAATCAGAAGTGCTATCTGGATGAAAAACAAGCAGGCCCCTCAGTGAATTTGATTATCCAGCATCTGCTTGAAATACTTTCAGTGACTAGAAACTCATATGTGTTGAAACAGTCATTTTTGGGAATTTTTGTTAGAAGTTTTTTTCTTAGTGCTGAACTGAATGAACATTTTTTATTTCTATGCATTAGTACTATGCAACTGATGGTTCTAATCCTTCAACTTGACAGCCTGGATCAGCTGGAATAATCTTGGTTTTCCTGCTGTAATAAATAATCTCTAATTTCAGAAGTTTTAAAAAATCCCCAACTTTTTTTTTTTATTCATACTTCATGACTTTCTGCATGACCATTGTAGATTAGACAGGGGGTTCTTCTCATGAGTCTCTCAAGGACCCAGGCTGACAAAGGAGCCATCAACTCAGATGTGGCAGAGAAAAAGCTTTGAAGGCCTTCCACAGGCAGTAAATGTTCTGGCATAGAAATGAAACACCTCACTTCTACTCATAATTCTTTGGCCAGAACTAATCACAGGGCCCTAACCTAACCACAGTGTGTGAGGAGGGGTAGGAAGTGCACTTCTACCAAGTGCCCAGAATGGGAGAGAACCAGAATACTTGATGAATGGCACTGATGACTATCACACAGTCTCTCTCTCTCTCTCTCTCTCTTTTTAAATCTTCACCTGAGGATACGTTTAGAGAGAAGAAGGGAGAAAGGGGGGGAGAGAGAGAGAGAGAAACATAGATGTAAGAGTGAAACATTGATTGGTTGCCTCCTGTACTTGCCCAACCGGGGATCGAACCCACAACCTAGGTTTGTGCCCTGACCAGGAATTGAACCTGCAAACCTTTTGGTGTACGGGATGACGCTCCAACTGAGTCACTCGGCCAGGGCATTACACAGTCTTTTAAGAATTTGGAGATCTGTCATTCTTTGTATTCCTCTCGCCTAGGATAAAAATTTCTAACATTTTAACTCATCGTGATATGATTTCTAATATCCTTACCCATCTGGACACAGAGCGGTTTTTCTGTGTTGTTCCTGAAGGGTATTGTCCAGAAGAGAACACAGTATTTCTGTATTATTGGAATCTGGCCAGGAAGAATTTTTTTTCTTTTTGGCAATCTAAAATCAGACAGTATTAAACCAGATAGTGTTCAAGTTAGTCAGATAACTATGTTTTATAAATGTGAATTTAATTGTATCCTGTGGTTTAAGTTCAAAAAGTAAGCTGTAGTATAGTAGAAAATAGAGCTTGAAATTTTAAGACTTCAAGTGCTGACTTTTTGGAGCTGTGTTATGCAGGGCATGTTGCTTAGTTATCCTAAGCCTATTTTCTGATAGATTTAACAAGATTGATGAGAATGGGAGCAGAAGTGTTTTCGCGGCTTTATTTAAAGTGGTATTAAGATACTGAGTGTTACTAAGAAACATTGTTTTGCTTCTTTCCACTTAGGTTCAGCATAGTTCATTAGGGACTCACTTGAATGTTTTAAGTTCATATGTGGATACATATGAAATAGTAGACATATACTATAGTCCTTGTGAGTGTAGATCATCATCTCATACATTTTTATATTATTATTATAAAAAGTCAAACTGATGTGCTGCCTCTCATTTGCAGGTAGGGTTCTTTCACAGTCTACTCCCGGGACTCCATCAAAGACCATAACAATATCTGAAAGTGGTGTTATTGGATCAACTTTAAATTCTACAACACAGACACCAAATAAAATAGCCATCTCACCTTTGAAATCGCCAAATAAGGTAAAAGAAATTAACCACAAATGCCAAGTATTGTGGTCAATGCCTTTATTTTCTTATAGTCACTTTAGATACTTTGGTTCTAATATATACCCAGGCAACTGAATAGGCATTCAGTGAATATTAATTTAGTAATCACGGATATATGACATAAAAAACTTAGTTTAAACACATAGTAACCTAGTAATCATTTTGCATGCTAAGGTGATTTTCATGGCCCATATGGATATAGGTACAACAAAACTCTTTTGAATGTGGTACATTATGTGTTTAGTTTTTCTTCAGTTAATATTTGTGCAAAATTACTGTCTTTGGGTAAGTCACACGTATGTGTAATGATGATATAAATCTAAAATGTTAAATGAACTCTTTTTGATAAAATACTCTGTGTCTTCTTCTTAAGCTGTCCTGGGTTTTATGGAGAGCTGAACTTTTGCTGGGTAACAGAGTACCCAGAGTACTAGAAATGCCATCAAATGCCGGTAACCATATTATCAGAGTTTTGAAGCTTATGTGCAATTCATTCATAGTATTTGAAAGTTTTTCATAATTTGTTTTTATTTTAATGTGGCGGAACACCTATCATTTTACTCAGGTCAAGTAAGTAGTCTTAGCTCACTTTCCTAAAATATACAGATGTCATTGCACCAGCATGACATTTTGAAAAAGGTACCTTTAAAGGACATGTTCAGGTGGAGCCTAAGCATCGTTATCCTGTGTGGCACCACCCTTGTAATTCTGAAAACATACTGCCTTTTGTACTCACCTTTTTCCTTAATTTGTTACTGTTCATAAATAGAACAAATATTAAACATTTGCCTTATATTTTAAAAAAGTCTAGCCACTGGTTTCTTGAATAGAATGTATAAGTAAAAGTATAGTCACTTGTTTCTTGAATATAGTATATAAATATGATGTCTCTTACAATTTATTAAAATGGAATTCTACCTGTGTAATAATATAGATAATTATTTACTTAAATGCAAAGAATTCAACAGATAATTTGAGTGCTTATAAATGCTACACATAGTGATAGGTACTGGGGATTAAGTTTTTAATTTCAGGTAGTTCGATAGGAAAGTTAGACTTAAACATTAAGGATTGCCCTACAGAATCAGTAACGGTGACAGGTGGATTGATGAGCTCTGCTGTGTGTGTCAGGGAAAGTTTATACAAAGGAGGCTATTCTTGAAAGGTATTAACCCTAAAGGTGGTTTGGGTCCTAGCTGTATGTGAACAGAGGAGGATTTCTGGATTGAGGTTATACTTTACGCAAAAGTCTAAAAGTGTGGCCCTTTCAGGAGCCAAGTTGCTGTGGTATTGTGAGAGCTGAGGGTACGGAAGGTAATGAAGAGTCATTACCTTCAGGGGAATTTGGATTTTAATGTTCTTAAAGACTTTCTGCTGCTTCCTATTGTTGCTAGGATGGTGGTTCTCAGCCTTGTCTGCAAATTGGAATCACTTGGGGAGCTTTAATATCATTGCCTGTTTCTTATTTCCAGAGACTCTTTTAATTGGTCCACAGTTTGGTCTGGAATTTTTGAAAGCTTTCCAGGTGATCCTAAACTGCTGCTCTAGGATAATATAGGGTTTGCATTTTTAAAAAGGTGATTCTTGTGGCATTATGAAAGCTAGTTTGGAGGAAGGCAAGCCTGGGTTCTGGGAGAGACCAGTTATGTTAGTGACTCTTAACCTCGACTGCACTTTTGAAGCACCTGGGGACCGACCACTTGAAAAAACTAATGGTTGGACCCTCCAAGAATCCCATTTAAATCGGAGTCTAGGCTGGAGCCTAGGAATTAGACTTAATATTTTAAAATTCTAAAGTGTAGGCCAGGGTAGAGAATCACTAAGCTAGATTATTGTAGTACTTCAAATGGGAGCTGGTCTAGTAGCTAAGGAGCTAGGGAGGAAGAGGTGTGTTGAAAGAGGTTTAAGACATAATGGCTGGACGTCAGGGTTTAGGGAATGGGTGAATCTGTGGTGATTCCTAGGTTCCTGACTTGAATAGCAGAGTAGATGGTGGCTCCGAACTAATATGACTGTACCTGAAAGTGTAAAATAGGAACTAGTTTTATTTTTCTCTCATCCTTTACTTTAGCCATGCCATGTTGGATTTTCCTTCCCTGCCTTTTGACTGGAAATTGTTTTTAATTATAAGCCTTATGTTGGTGATTAAATTTACAGTTATAAAAGTCTAGTGAAAAGATTACATCCTGTTGAAAGCTTCTTCTCTCAACTCAGGCCTGTAGGGATCATGTAGTGGAAGAGAAGAGTGTGATCTGTTTCTTCACTCTTATCCCTTCTCCCCCATTCTGCTTTTGACTTCTGGTTGGAAGGAAGATTAGAAAAAAAAGGACAGTTTGATATGAGTAGGACTATTGTATTGTAATACAGCTGCCAGTGCCCTCTTGTGACTGGTGTCCAAGTGTCGACTTTTAGAGTTGTGCATTTATTTAGGAAGGCTTTTGGAGACTCATGGGCATGTCCACATCGCCCAGTTCTCTGTCGTGAGTGTGGTGCACACTCCAGCTACCTTTGGCAGTCTCTTCCTGGCCCTCTCTTTCCTCCTGTAGTCCACCCTGCAGCCTGGTGCTGTGTGCCCTTACTACAGAAGGCACATTTTTGGCCCATCAAGACTCTTTAGCCCATCTGCAGCATCTATTTGGCTAACTCAAAACCTGTAGAACAGTGATAGACGTGCAGCCTGCCTAACTGCTGACCTGTATGTCCTTTCTCTACCTTTAAAATTTTTTTTTTCTTTTGGCACTGGTTAGTGTGACTCAGTTGGGTGTCGTCCTGTGCACTGGGAAGTTGCGGGTTAGATTCCCAGTCAGGGGCATATGCGTGGGTTGCAGGCTTGATCTCCCGTGGGGGCATGCAGGAGGCAGGTAATCAGTGTTGTGTTCTCACATTGATGTTTTTTTCTCTCTCTCCCTGCCTCTCTCTCTCTCAATAAACTATTCTAAAAGAATTTTTTTCTTTTGGACCCTATTCTGAAGGCAAGAACTTTGGTGATCTGGTATTAATATTTGTACTCCAAAACGATTCACTAAGAACTGGAGAGTAATGACCACACTAGCTGCCATGTATTAATTCAGGCAAACAGAAAAAAGAGCCGTCTAAACAGATCCTGAATAATACCCAGATAACTTGAGAATACAAAAGCAGAAGCTCAGATCCAGGAGAATTTACCCTTAAGATCCCCAGCTGCGGAGAAAAACCAGGAGCTTAGATGGCCTTGTGGGCGCCACGCCTGTTTACTCACCAGCTCTGGAGCTATGGGGCTTCTTCTCTTAATCCCAGGTGAGCCCCAAATATGCTGGACATGAATAAAAAGTCGGCCCGGGGTTCATTCAGCAAAAATGATTTATTCACCGGGGAGAATATTGCAATCCAGAATGTGCAGCCAAGGCCAGGCAGTTGGAGGTTTCTGCCCGGAGGAAAGTGGAGGAAGTACTTCAAGAGCAGAAAAGGAAGTTAAGGGAAGGGACAGTCTACGCTGGGAGCTCAGTGAGGACCCTAGAGATGCCCCTGCAGGGTTCCCAGGATGACAGGAATGTGAGAGCTCCTCCCACACACCCTGTCTTGGTTAACAGTTCTGTCATAAATGTTGACACCCTCAAACACCTCCCAGGGGAACTCCAAGGCCCCACACCTCCCCCCAAGCCCTGGACCACTAGGCTACCACCGGGCTTCTGCAACGCAGTCCAGCAGCATGGGATGCTGTCCAGCAGCAGCAGGACAGCTGCAGACCCCTGCGAGTGCCCCAGGGGAGGGGTCATCCTGCCTAGTCACATTGCCTGGCCCAGACCCTGACCCAGTGCCTGTGGGCTGCCTGCAGTCCTCTTCAGGAACAACTCTACCCCCAAGAAACCATCAGGCTGCAGTGCAAGACTCGGGACTCGAAGCTCTGGACTCTGAGGAAGGTGCAGGCATGCTGGGATGGCCTGGGGAGGCATCTGCATCTCCTCTGCCATTTTTACAGTTCATTCCAAACCTCTTGCTTACAGAATTCTCCAGGATGGGACCAGTTTCTGTGTTCGCCTATGCCCTAAACTCCTGGAGATATGCGTCACGTTCTCCTGAGAACTTTCTCATTGCATTTAATTCTGGTGGCTAGATCAAGATGGGCTTAAGAGTTTATCTCGCCCCGCCGGGCGTGGCTCAGTGGTTGAGCGTCGACCTAGGATCCAGGCGATCAATCGGGGTTCGATTCCCGGTCAGGGCACATGCCTGGGTTGTGGGCTGCAGCAGATCAATGACTCATCGTTGATGTTTCTGTCTGTCTCTCTCTCCCCCTCTCCTTTCCTCTGTCTGAAATCAATAAAGATATATTAAAAAAAAACAAGAGTTTATCTCAGTACATTGCCAGCCTACGATTCAGATGTCAGATGTCAGTTTTCTCTTCTTGGAGAACTCCTGCCTTTGTTCTCACTGAGGTGTAAAGACCTAGCATTCTCTATGTTTATGAATTCACTCCTATTTCTAATCTGCTTTATTTTGTTCCATTTTCAGTGTTAGGAGGTGTATGATAGGGATGCTGTCTTTTAGTAAGTCTGACATGGGTGTCTTGTCCTCCTTTTTAGAGTGGGGAGTTTATCTTTTGTAGTTCTTCATCTGCAGCCCTCACTTCAGCCAAATTTTGAGATAGTAGAAAACATCCCATTATTCTTTTATACTAGAAGGAGTGGCTGTTTTGGGGCAAAGAGATATTGTTTAGTTCTTGGAGATGTTTGTCATCAAAGTACCCACTGATTATTTAGAGGAAGATGTCCATTAGGAAACAATATGGGCAGTGGCTAAAAAAACAACATATAGATGAAATCAACAAGGGAGCATGAGGTTATGTGTGTGTACAGTGAAAAGAAAAGCAGGACTGAGACACAAAATAAGAGTTAGTAGAAAAAAAGGAGCCAGTGGAAGAGAAGGAATGGTAAGAGAGGTAGTAAGAGAAAATAGGAAGGGAAGGTGATTTCAAGAATGATACTGGGCTACAATTT